TTTAGTGAGAATGCAAGTGATTGAGATTTATACATTGAGCTTAAAGTAGATTTAAAATGAAAATAAAAGCATAATGATGCTATTGCAACATATGCATCTTAAACATGAATCTTAAGTTGACTATGTATTTAGAAAGCAGGAAGACTAGATTTAGAAAGCGGGAAGAAAGTGTGGGTGTGTGTGTGTGTGTGTAGTTTGGGGTCAGTAAGATTTTGTTTGAAAAAATTTGTTTTGTTTTTTTATGGCAAGGATGTATAAAATTGATCAAAAGCCATTTGATTTCCATTTTAAATCCTGTTCTTTTTAACTTTCTGTTAATAACTATAGTAATAAGAAATGTTTCTTGAGCATCAAATCATCATATTGGAATTAGGGATGTGCCGATCCGATATTTATATCGGGTATCGGCTCCAATACTGCCATTTTTGTTGGATCGGGTATCGGTCAGAGAGAGCCGATCCAAATCTGCGATTGTGCGTATTGTGTTACCTCTGCTCTGAAGCCATAGCATAGCTTAAAGGGTTACTTAAAATTTTGTCATTAATCACTTACCCCAATGTCGTTTCAAACCCATAAAAGCTTCGTTCGTCTTCTTAACACAATTGGATATTTTGGATGAAAACCAGGAGGCTTGTGACTGTCCCATTGACTTGCACTGTCAAGGTCCAGAAAAGTATGAAAGACATCGTCAGAATAGTCCATCTGCCATCAGTGGTTCAACCGTAACATTATGAAGCGACGAGAATGCTTTTTGTACGCAAAGGAAACAAAAATAACGACTTTATTCAACAATTCGTCGTGTGTCTTTCCGCATCACCGTAGCACCATTTTGGAGAATATCGGCTCTTCTGTGTCAGCCGCGCTGTACGGATGCGCCGTTTTCCTTCAAATTTAAAGAGTAAATACCTTATACAGTCTATGGTAAATTCACGTAGAAAACGTAGGCCTATCCCTTTAACAAAACATGCAATGCAATACAGTGATGATTGAGAGAAGAACACATAAATGTTCAGCAAAATTTTGATACTCATATTTTAACACGATTTTACTAAAAAAAAAAAAAAAAAAAAGGTTGGATTATCAAGTAAACTTATGTTTTTAGACTAAGACCTTTTACTTCCTGAACTATCAGACAACACAAGGTATGTATTAATGTGCAACAGGTTTTTCAGCAGTTTTGATCATTTAAAGGCCTTTATGGGGTTAAAGGGGTGTCAGGGGTGTCAAACAGAAATGCAAAAATAAATAATACAATTGTTTTCGAACAGGTTTCCCAAATTCTTCCACCATCTGCCATTGGTCGATCAAACTGACTCTCGGTGTTGGTTATCTCAACATGTAAAAAGCCAAACAGAAAACGTAGGCCTATCCCTTTAATGTGAGCTACATATGAATATTTAAGTCCTTACATTAAAGTTCACACAAACTCTTTTCTCCGCTGTGGCTGTCAGTCATTCGTTCAGCCTTTAAACCCTGGTCTCGTTCGGTTACAGCAGTCAGCTCGGTAAAGCTCTCTCTCTCCAAGATCATTCTGTGTTCCCATTATACTTGATTTGTAAATACATGTCTATGATTTTGCAAAAAGGACTTTATCTTCTTGCCGGAGTTTAATGTTGTTTTGTTACTTGCTACCGGGTGTCTGTGAGAACAAAACACAGGCGTAGAAAAGACTATAAATAGTTTTTAACGTGCACAGTAACTGAAATTTAAAATGGTTAAAAGAAAGGCTCAATAACTGTTGCACAGATATAATATACTACGCATCAATTTCTCTTCCCTTTGTGCTTTGCAGTTTTTAATGCAAGCGCATCATTCTGCACACCGAATGCGCATATTGTAAGCGTTTCGTGCCGCACTGCATTTGTTATCGAATCTATCATATGTCACTGTATTTACCTATCGAATCTATCATATGTTGTTGCCTTATTAAAAAAAATATGCTATACATTTAAAATAAACTTATTTTAAGATTACACTTGTATATAAATACATTCATGAATGTTTTCAGCCTTATTAAAAAAAATATGCTATACATTTAAAATAAACTTATTTTAAGTTTACACTTGTATATAAATACATTCATGAATGTTTTCAAATTGATTTTATAATACAAATAGCAATGTGTAACATTTTACCATATTTAGTGCAACACTTATATTTGTTCCGCGCAAAATATTTTTCCACTAAATGTTTAGATTTCTAAAATTATTGTACACTGATTTTTCTAGAATAACTTTTGCAGCTGAATTATCCACTTATCTAGTTTGATATATGTTTGTCATAGATTATGAATATACATATATTTTTTCATATTTATTGTTTCTTTTTTTTATAATGTAGTAGTCTGTATCTAGTAGATTGTGAAAGAATGATTATCAGTTCCACACACAGAGATATATAAATTCTAAATTTATTTAAATGGGGGGGAAAAAACTTCACTGGTATCGTAATGGTATCGGCCAATACTTAACCCCAGGTATCGTATCGGTATCGACCAATACTGAACCCTAGGTATCGGAATCAGTATCGGCCAATACTTAACCCTAGGTATCGGAATCGGTATCGGCCAATACTTAACCCTAGGTATCGGAATCGGTATCGGCCAATACTTAACCCTAGGTATCGGAATCGGTATCGGCCAATACTTAACCCTAGGTATCGGAATCGGTATCGGCCAATACTTAACCCTAGGTATCGGAATCGGTATCGGCCAATACTTAACCCTAGGTATCGGAATCGGTATCGGCCAATACTTAACCCTAGGTATCGGAATCGGTATCGGCCAATACTTAACCCTAGGTATCGTATCGGTATCGGCCAATACTGAACCCTAGGTATCGGAATCAGTATCGGCCAATACTGAACCCTAGGTATCGGAATCGGTATCGGTAAAATTTACCCCAAAACATTTGTGAACAAAGTGTGCATGTTTAGATTGACAGCTGTAGGTACGTTTCAGGACAGACAGACATGACGGTGGAGGTAAGACATGCGCGGTTGTTGATCGATGCCTTTCCAAATATCAGGCAGATATCAGCCAATTAATCATCCTGGCCAATATATCAGTGTATAATGTGCAGTATAATAATAGCACACAAACAGAGACAGTGTTTAGACATACTCTCTGTCTGATCTGTTTGGGAAAGATCCAGAGTCATTTGGCTGATGCTGTCATTGTGATTTATGAAGGCAGATTGCAGTATCTGATCGTGTGTGTGTGTGTGTGTGTGATGGGGAGGAGAGATTTGTGATAGCGTCTATATGAAGCAGGAAGTTGATTTCATTACACACACAGTGAGCAGGTTCAGGCCCGGTGAATCCCCATGTCCAATATAGAAATTCACTCCACTTTTTTCTGGTGTTTTATTAATGTTTTATAACAAACCCATTTCACTGAACAGTAAATAAATACATGGGACTTGAAATATTGATTTGAGTTGAAGTGTGAAATTGATATGTGTGACGGAAAATGTTCTATCTCTTGTATAATTCCTATCTTGGCGTGATAAAAGAGATATGAAACTAGCTATGAAATAGTTAGGACATCGGTTACTGTGGGCAAAGGTCAGGTTTGCGTAACTATACAGAAATATTTGACCACACAATTACTCAATTGAGCATTTACAGTCAATTATTCCAGAGAGCTGTGTGATAAGATACTTAGTAAGGCTATACAGTTAATTAAAATTAAACCTCAATCATGATATGAATATATGCGCTGTGCTGCGTGTTTCACTGACGAGCCGTTGTTCACTGACGAGTTGCGCAAACAAAAATTTGTGGGACTATGAACGTGGTTTTGCGCAGCTTGTCAGTGAACAATGGCTCTGTGTAGTTAATGCTGCTCAATGTGAAAACACACACATGATGGAGATTTACCGCTGATTACAGAACGGCTTTACTGACAAGATGCGCATTAAATATCGCATGTGATTTATCGTGCAGCCCTAGTAAATATTAAATATTGTAATTTTGCAGTAGTAGTAATAATAATAATCTTCGTATTATCATTTTTGAGTGTTCCATTTGCAATATTTAGTAATAGCCATGTTTATATTTTTATTTAATATCTATTATTATAAAAATTGTTGGTGGTGTTGTTTAATGTTTGACCATTTGAAAATAAAATAAATGGTAAAAATGTTATTAATTGAATAATTATTAGTATTGTAATCTTACAGTTGCCATATTATATTTTTTATTAAATACTAATTTCTGTATAAATATTAAATAAAATGAAAACAAATAATTAAAAACAAGATGATAATTAATATTTTGACATTTTAAAATTAATTAGGACAACAATAATTATTAGTAATGCAATTTTACAGTTGTATATTATATTATTTTTCTTAAACACTCTTTTTTTTCATTATACAGTGAAATATTACAATAGTAATATTTCTTATTTTGTTCCTTCATTAAAAATTTTTTTTTCTTAAATACGCTTTTCTATTTAATAATAATAACTATTATTGTTGTTATTGTTGTCTGTTTAATATTTAAGTATTTTAAAATAAATTTACATCCATAAATATTACAAATATTGTCATTTGTATTTGATATTTTATAGCTGATACATAATCACAAACCTGTAATTATTTTCAATTCTAAAAATTGCAATCGCAGTTAAATTTAAAAAAAAAAAATTTTTAATCATCAAATCGTGCAGTCCTCATACAGTGTGGGTTGTGTTTATGGTGGATTGGTGTGGCTTTGTGCTTTTATTAGAGGAGTATGAGCTCAGAGCTGATCCATGACTCATTCACCTCTCATTACCGTCCCACTCCTTATCTCCCCCTACGCTCGCTCGCTCTCTCTCTCTCTCTCTCTCTCTCTCTCTCTCTCTCTCTCTCTGGCCACTCATGTGGTGGAGTGGGGGATTGGTTGCTATAGGGGCGGAGTGAGCTCTCTCACAGACTCTGCTGGGATTGGCTGATTGGAACTGTGTAATTCAGTGTGACTGTGGTTGGGTTGTCCCCATCGCCCCCCTCGCGCTCTCTTTGAGGCAGCGTTCCAGAGAGGATATCTGCTGCTCGCAGGCAGGACGGGATTAACTCAACAACTCAACTCATCTCATCTGCATATAGATGCCCAGAGAGAACCAGGCGCAGGGGCTTCAGACACTCGCTGAAGAAACTCTGTTTGGACTTATTGGACGATCACATTGGTGATTTGTTTTGGCACCCCCAGATCTCTGGCAAAAGATGTAGAAGAGTCTGTTAGGGGATCTCGGAGTTGTGCTTAAGTTTTCTTTAGTCGGTGTGTTTGGTGGGGAGTCACTCCTCAAGCGTGCGAGATGCCGTCTCGCGAATCCTATGTTCTCCGTAAGGAGGAGAAGTCTCTGGTGCACAAGGCCAAGGCAGAGGGCAAGGAGCAGGGGATGGTGGCCGCTGCTCTGGGGATGAAGATGAGTCCTCAGAAACCTCCGGCCACTCTCTGGCAACCTCTCAAACTCTTTGCTTATTCGCAGCTCACGTCGCTGGTCCGTCGAGCCACGCTGAAGGAGAGCGAACGGGCGCCCAAGTACGAGAAAGTCCACAACTTCAAGGTAAGGATCCACAAAGCCTCATGGCCTGCTTTAATTGGATCATCTTACTAGAAATCATTATGTTTGCATAAAGTCTTGAAATAAGGAATATGTCAAATTTTTGCCAAGTTTCTTTGCCAATTTGTTTGTCAGAATTATCCGAAGAAGTGGATTTTTTTTTTGTTCTTGTTTCATGCATGAAGCTTATTGTAGCGAGTTTGTTCATCTTGGTAATATTGCTTGGTATAATGTAAATAATATTTGTAATATTATTTGTGGTCAATCAAAACATTTTTTTGTTTTTAAAATTATTTCAATTTGGCCTAAATTTTGCCATGATTCATTGAAATGTTTTGTCAGTTTTATGTTTTTGCGATTTCAATTGTTTTGAAAGAAGAAATGCTGCACAGTTTTGTCAAATTAACAAAACAAAATTCATTTAAAGTATGTTTGGTACATGATTACTGGATGTCTTTCTTGTTTCATGCATAAATCTTGGTGAATTAATTTTGATTTGTGCTTAAACAAGAGCAAAAACTATTTGCTATTGGGATTAGAAAAAGACATTTTGGTAAATTTTTTTGTCTCAATTTTACTGTGATTCATTGAAATGTCGACTGTGTTGTGTTGTGACTCACTTTCAGAGCGACTATGTCATAGCATGTTATGCAAATTCTCCCCAAATGTGATTTAAATCCGTCCCGAGGGGTGTGTTGTTGCCGTGGCAGCGAGTGCAGGTTTCTGGAGACGTTGGAAGAGTTAAGATGCTGTAAGCCGTGGTTATTTAGAGGCAGTTCAGCCAGAGGTTCTGAAAAACAAGTCAAATAAAAACATCTAGTGTTTGCATGAGAGAGGAAGGGAGCGTGAGGGAGGTTGTTTGGGGTGACAGATGGAGAGATTAGGAACTGATAGAGGATTGGTAAACATAACGGCGTTTCCTCATTTGGTTTCTATCCTCAGCAGGTAGTGGACCCCAGACCCCAGCCCCCTCTCAGCTTCAGTTTGTCTGTAGAGTCAAACCCTCACAGACTGCTGACTCCACAAAGAGCTCTTTCTGCTGCTTGCTTTCTCTCATGCTTGCGTTTTCTCCTTGTTGTCACATGGTAATTGATGCTCAGATACTGGATAGCGGCTGCTTTTGTCAGCAGTACAGTGAAAATTACTAAAGATTCAAGTTATTATCATTAGAAGCATAGAGCCAGCTGTGTTTACACTGAACATTCTTATACTAGATATTGTATACTGCGATAATGTACAGTCAGTAAGTCATTTAGCAAGAAAAACATAGGGGGTTATATGTGCATATAATATATAATTGTATTATAATTTTGTATTTAGTTATATTATTTCCTATTTTTATTACTTACTATTTATACCATAAAAAAAAAGTAGTATTATGTAAAAAACTGTTATATATATATATATATATATATATATATATAATATGTAAAACACACACACATGGTGTGTACATGTGTATAATATATATACTTTTACTATTTCTGATTTTTGATTAGTAAATAATCATATTAAAAATTACAATTACAAAATTACAAATTGTATTAATATAAAACGTTCTACAAATATATGAATTCATTAATAAGTATATATATATATATAGTTTAAAACTTGGTTGTAATTTAGTTATGGTATTAAAGTTTAGCCAATTAAAATAAAGCATTCCTGAGAGCCTTCCTTGTAATATAAAAGAGTTTGTATATATTTATAAGCAATGCTTTCTTTTGATAATCCAGTAAGCATCATGCTTTTCTTTGTCCTCTTTTCCATAACCTGCTAAAATCCCCCAGCTCTGTATATATCCAATCATTTAAATTCCTCAGACCTCTTTTATATCTAAATAGGGCACTTGTCATGTTGATGTCAGTGTGATGTACAGTGATTTCATCATCTACTGTAAGATGGTTCTGCTGTTAGGATAGTAAACCCTGCCAGTTCCTGCTACTAGACCTGAAGGGCTCTCAGAGAGCCAGGGGCCCGTCCCGTAGGAGCGTTTATATACACATCTGATTGGATGAGATGTTACCTGGTGGAGAGGAGAGAGCAAGAGAGCAGGGCTTTCCTCCTGATTAATGTCTCTCTCTCTCTCTCTCTCTCTCTCTCTCTCTCTCTCTGGCTGTTGATTAATTGTGATTGGATTAAACAGTTAGACACTGCTCGTGTCGCTAATCACGAATTCATTTTTATAAGCAGGTTTAAACGGCTCAGAAGAGCAGAAGTTGATTTGTATGTCATGGTGTTTGCGTGTTGTCCTGCAGGTGCACACCTTCAGAGGGCCGCACTGGTGTGAGTACTGTGCCAACTTCATGTGGGGACTCATCGCTCAGGGAGTCAAATGTGCAGGTAAATCAACTCTCACCCAATGCAAAATCACCATAAAAAAAGGGTTCTTCAGCCAAATACATTCTTATTACATAGTTATTACATGGTTAAGTAGTTATTACATAGTTTTTGATTAACATTATTTACATTTTTATTTTACATACATTTTGCATACGTTCATAAAGAAACTCCATAGATCTGTATAAAAAGAAAGGGTGATTTTTTTTTTTTTTAATTGATGCAAAAGAACAACAATTTTTGGAACCCCAAAGATCCTTTCAGTGAACGGTTCTTAAAGGAACACTCCACTATTTTTGAAAATAGGCTCATTTTCCAACTCCCCTAGAGTTAAACAGTTGAGTTTTACCGTTTTCGAATACATTCAGCCGATCGCCGGGTCTGGCGGTAGCACTTTTAGCTTAGCTTAGCATAGATCATTGAATCTGATTAGACCATTAGCATCTCCGACGGAAAATGAAAAGTTGTGATTTTCTAGGCCGATATGGCTAGGAACTATACTCTCATTCCGGCGTAATAATCAATGCTTTGCTGCCCTACCATGGGTGCAGCAGGTGCAATGATATTATGCAGCGCCTGAAAATAGCTCCCTGTGCATGCAGGTGGTCACGTTGGTTATGTTGATGGAAGTTAGCCTATTTTCAGGCGCTGCGGAGCAAAGTTCCTTGATTATTACGCCGGAATGAGAGTATAGTTCCTAGCCATATCGGCCTAGAAAATCTCAACTTTTCATTTTCCGTCGGTCTTAGTACACGATGTAACTACAGAAGAGTCAAGTTTTATTTTTGAGCGAGGTGCTAACGGTCTAATCCGATTCAATGATCTATGCTAAGCTAAGCTAAAAGTGCTACTGCCAGACCCGGAGATCGGCTGAATGGATTCGAAAACGGTAAAACTCAACGGTTTAACTCTAGGCGAGCTGGAAAATGAGCCTATTTTCAAAAATAGTGGAGTGTTCCTTTAAAAGAACAATTATTTTCTTAGTGTGAAGAACATTTTAATAATCTAAAGAACATTTCTACTCAAAATCTTTTGCGGAATGGAAAAATTCCAAACCTTTGATGCCAATAAAGAACCTTCTTTTTTTAAGCGTGTAGAAACATGTTAGCTCGCTATTGCATACTTATGACTTCAAGTGTTTTATTATTATTATATTTGTTATTTTAGATTTTGATGGGTTTGTAGTACATGCTTTAACTAAGGTTCCAAAAGGTTGTTTTTTGTTTTGTTTTTTGAAGCAATGCAAAAGAAGAACCTTATTGGGTTCCCCAAAGAACCTTTCAGTGAACGGTTCATAAAAAAGCATTATTTCTTAGTGTGACGATTTTAATAATCTAAAGAACCACTATAATGAAGATTTTGTGGAAAGGTTCCATGAATGTTAAAGTTTGTCATGGAACCACAGATGCCAATAAAATAACCTTTATTTTTAAGAATGTAGGAAGCGATTTAAAAAGGAAACATTTAAGAAAACAATTCCTGAAATCAATTGAGATGCTGGCATGAAAAAAATCTAAAAGTGGGGGGTTCTCCATGATTATAATGGTGCACAATGATACACCCTTGTGTTTATCAACATAATATAATTTGTGTGTCATTAAAGCTATTAACTTTCACCCGCTGAACCCCCTCGGAAGTGTTCAGTAGCTTCATCTGATTTTGTAGGGGTGAAGTGAGGATTCCTGCATATACAGTGGGTACGGAAAGTATTCAGACCCCCTTAAATGTTTCACTCTTTGTTATATTGCAGCCATTTGCTAAAATCATTTAAGTTAATTTTTTTTCCTCATTAATGTACACACAGCACCCCATATTGACAGAAAAACACAGAATTGTTGACATTTTTGCAGATTTATTAAAAAAAAAAAACTGAAATATCACATGGTCCTAAATATTCAGACCCTTTGCT